TTGTAATTAGGGTTTTGTTGGCAATATTTGTTCTTATTTTCTTCTATGTTTTTTGCAGGTTTTATTAAGTTAATGCCATTAATTATCCACCAAAATACAATAATAAAAATTTCATTTATCCAGTCAATGAATTCGGGTCCATTTATCGAAGAAGTTCATGTGCACGATCATTTGTCGTATCTTTTCATCGATTTTACCAACTTATCCTCAACTGTTTTACAGTTGATATGCTACGGCATTTACGACAGATTTATATACGAAAACGACAAAATTTGCCTTTTTGTTTTTAAACAATAACCGTATCAATTATTACGTGTTGGTCGACTTCTTCCCCGTTTTTTTTAGTAAAAAATCAATTTCTCCTTTCGCTCGAATTAATTAATGTGCAATTAATGTTTTACGATGCAGTTACATCAGTTCAAGAGGCTTCAGTTGCATCATCGATTTTATCCGAAGGCAACGAGAAATTCGATCTTGTAATGGTCGACGTAAGCTCGTCTAATAACATAGAAGGGTTTAAGCTTGTCCACGAAGCTGTCGACATGGGCTACATAGTAATTCGTAAGTGTTTATTACATATTAATATTAATTACTAAATTATTTTTATTATTTCCCTAGTAATTAATAATAAATAACTAATCTCTTAATTTCCTTTGAATATAATTAATTCATATATATATATAAAAAAAATATCGATACAAAGTGATGGCGAACGATGCCGACACAACCCTAGTGAAGTGTGCAATCGAAGATGGAGCATTTTTATTCATGGAGAAAGTAAATGCTGCAGAAGAGTTGAAGTATATATGGCAGCACGTTTTACGTGAAAAAGCTCGAAAAAATAAAGAATTAAACGGTACATTATTATCTACGGCCGGTGAACAAAATCAACGAGTTTTTCTTTCTGAGGGCAATCGAAATTTGGACAATATTGGAACGAGTACTATGAATCGAAATGTGGACAACATTGATCGAAACATCGGAATGAGTACTATGAATAATCGAGTTGTGTCGGAAACAAATATTAATGTAATAAACAATCGTCCGAGAAGAAGAATGGGGGCCACATTTATCGAACCGGCTAATAATAATAATGAAAATGCTCGTGGTAATTATATGTTGAGGCCGAAGATATGTACTGAATGGACTGCAGAACTTCATGAGAAATTCATGGATGCTGTCACACTACCAAAAAACAAGGCTTTAGTGACAGCCGATTTTGTCACAAAAAGCAACAAAATCAGTCACTATAAAGCTTTAGTGACGGCATAGGGACGAAATATGTCTGTCAGAAAACCCCTCGTCACTAATTTAATTAGTGACGGAGATTTTAATTCCGTCACACCGTTTATCACAGAAACGTTCGTCACAAATGAAAGTAATTCCGTCAAAATTACCATATCGAAGACACCTAAAATCTATGACGGATTTCGTCACAAGCAATATTTTTCTGTCAATAATTTGTCACTACCTAACAAAATGTTTTCCCTTAAATTGTGACGGATTCCGTCAAAGTCAAGTTTTTGCAGTCATTAATCCGTCCCTAAACTATGTGACGGATTTCGTCACAAACAGTTTGTGCTGTCAATAACCCGTCCCTAATCTATGTGACGGATTCCGTCACAAATAGTTTGTGTTGTCATGAATCCGTCAATAAGCATGAAAATATTTTTCCTAAAATCTGTGACGGATGCCGTCATAAACAATTCCTATTGTCAATAATTCATCACCAATGAATGAAAGATTTCGTTATATATTTGTCACTGGGAGCGTCACAATTAGTCACCAATCCTCTGTCACAAACACTTTGTCACAAATTGTCTGTATCAAAAGAAATGTACAACAAAACCAATAAAATGATCATATAAGTATATTAAGACAAAACCATTATCTCTGTTGTGATATTTCAAAAGTTCTAATGGTAAAAATATACTACAAATGTCGAGCCATAAATATCTTATAACAAAGACCCAATCTCTAAACTATTGTCCTGTATCACCTCCAACATCCGCAAGCCATGTTATCGTCGTTTATATTTCTCTCCCTCTCATCCCCTCAACCCCCACTAGTTCATCTTGGACGATCTTTCCAATTTGACAATTCGACAACTTCATACTATATCTGAGTAGCACGTGGTCCCTGCCCAACACTAGTCTCGCATCTGCATTTTTACGAATAATCTAAACTGCATCTGACAATGTAACACAAAAAGGTGAAATTTCAAATAAACTAAGTCCAATTTTCTTACATAAAGCAGAACCCCAAGAGAAAGAACACCAAAAGAAAATTACCCCCGATCACATACCGTATACCAGTTACTATAGCTGTTAAGCTTCCGTATTGAATATCCTGCCATAAAAAAATCAACAAAGATCAGAAATAATAAGAGGTATTGTCCAAAATATTAAACAGTTAAATTACCAAAACGAATATCTGAAAAACAAAATGTGCCAATTAGAGCCAACCATCGTATTCTAAGATAGAAGACAAATATTTTGATTAAAAAACGAACAACTATTCCAAGCAAGAGCATAACAAAAAACCTGTAGAATGGCCTGATTATACAAGTACCATTTTAATGTTGGAACAACTTCATGAGTATAAGCTGTGGTCCCCATGTAGGTGTTAATGTACCCAATATGTGAAGAGGGAGACGAAACAGAAGCTGCATAGCTTCTGCTTATGCGCAGGACTTAAAACGTCTTGGACCTCAGGGTCCATCTAATTAAAACACATTCAATAGTTTCGAATTCACATCATCCAATTATAATTACCTACAAACATCATTTATTGTTTCAGAAAGTACATATAATAGAATGCATATCTCTTATGCCTCTGCAGATAGCAACCACAGGCTAATGTCATAATCTACAATTTACAAGGATTTATTTCAAAATAATGGTGGGATATAGCTAACAAATAGCCCCATACGCCCAAATTCAAGAGAATTTTTTACATCACCGAACCGAAACTTTTGCTGAATTAACCAATAAAGTCAAATACATCTAATATACACAATAAGGTCGACAATGAAAAATGTAAAGTGTACCTCAATGTTGTGGCTCTAATTATCTCAATATGTATCAAACCATCACATTCTACTCGGTTTTCACCCACCTATTAATTTACAATTCAAACAAAAAAGCTACGCATATATATATATTGATAAATTAATCCTGAAATTTACCTTCATGTCCAAATGATAGTGTACCGACGAGGACAATCGCTCGCCGCTGCCTTTGGGTGTAGATTCATCGTACAAATCAATTATGGTTCTTCGCCACCACATTTGTGTTGTTGCCCGACATTATAAATCATTTACCCCCGATTTATGCCGCTGCCGCCATTGCCCTTTGACGATGAGTGGAGAAAATTGAATTTGAAAGCGTGAGTGTGTGCCTGTGATGTGCAAAACTCAAAAACCTAAATGGCTTGTTTTGGGTGGGGTTTCACTATGACGCCGTAGTGGGAGGAGTTAATGCTAAATTATCATTAATTTATTAACTTTTAACTAGTTTTTTTTTTAAATTCAATTGTTATCAATATCTTTTATCATCAGTTTGATAAAAACAAAATTAAAAAAAAATATAGATATAAAAATTAAATAAGAAGGTCAGACCAATATTTTTTGCTAGAATTAGTTTTCATGTTCAAAAAATAAATTGTGGTTTTAAGTAATAATAATAATAATAATAATAATAATAATAATAATAATAATAATAATAATAATAATAATAATAATAATAATAATAATAATAATAATAATAATAATAATAATAATAATAATAATATTATAATATGATTATAGTAATAATAATAATAATAATAATAATAATAATAATAATAATAATAATAATAATAATAATAATAATAATAATAAATCATGAATCAAATTAATAATTTAGTGTACATTAAATGTGGTATTTTCAACATATATTGATATAACACTAAAATTTGTAAATAATAGATTTTCAATAATAAAACAAAAAAAGGATAACATATAATAATAGTGTAACTAGCTGAAATACAGTTTTTGTGCACGCCATTATAAGAAATATTTTAATAAATTGACTAATTATCCATTTTACATAATTTCTATAAAAAATCAAATTACTTGAAATTGTTAATAAATTATAATAAATAGGTTGCATTTTTTATATTATTCTATATTTTTTTCCTATTATTTTATTTTTTATGGTTTCAAAATATAAAATAAATAGGGCCAGTTAGTGACATAATTGGGATTTTAACCAACATGTAAATAACTTTTTTTTTTTTTGAGTAAATAAATAACATTTTTAAAGCGATATATATAGCGAACAAAGGTAGTGACAAACTATGAAGAAATTTAGATTGTGATGGATCTATGACTAAATAAATATTAGTAAGTGATTAATGAAGAATTTAAAATATGACGGAATTGTGAATGGATAATACGTGACACATTTGTGACGAGAAGGATGTTGTGACGGATCAATGGCACAACTCAAGAATATGACGGATTTATGACTGAATTTTATGTGACGTGTTTGTGACAAAAAGGATGTGACGATGGATCAATGACATAACTTAGAATGTGATGGAGTTGTGACAAAAAAAATTGTGACGCATTTGTGATGAAAATGATGTTGTGACGGACCAATGACAAAACTTAGAATATGACGGTATTCGTGACAGAATTACATGTGAAATATTTTTGACGAAAAAGATGTTGTGACAGATTTGTAACTCATACTAATTAAATTACATATCCATAAACAAATTATGACAAATACTATGACGGAATAAATTTCTGTTACAAATTATGTGACCGAAATGTGACCGAATATTTATTGTCACAAAATTCGTCACATAATTCATAACAATTGCGTCAAAAGCAATTGTAAATTGGTTTTATAAGAATCGATCACAAATTTGTCACTAATTCAGTCATTCATTGTGACAGATTTAGCCTGTCACAAAATTTCTGTTACAAAAGCCTTGTTTTTTGGTAGTGTCAGAGAACTCGGTGAAGGAAGTACGTTTAATTATTTATTTATTTTTAAATTTAAATTGTAAAAATGTTTGATAAATGAAATTGATATTTATTATTTTTTTCGTTTTTTTTCGATAAGGGTGTTTTCCGAGAGATATTCTCGAGCTGATGAATGTTCCTGGATTGACAAGGCTTCAAGTTGCAAGCCATCTTCAGGTATTTATTTAATTTTAAATATATATATATATATATATATATATATATATATATATATATATATATATATATATATATATATATATATATATATATATATATATATATATATATATATATATATATATATATATATATATATATATATATATATATATATATGTATGTTTCAAGAATCATATATGAAACTTTTATTTAATTGCATTACTTTGTTTCATTTTTGATTCATTAGTAATATTGATGGATATATGTATTCAGAAGCATAGCCATTTTTTTTTATTTTAAACTACTAGCTTACTAAAATTTGAGAAATGGGATTTATATATATCAATTTCTTGTTAGAAAAAAAATAATTAATTTAATTTTAATTTGATTTAATTCGGTGCAGAAATGCCGCCACGGATGGCAACCTACTTACGAGAGGGAAGGCCGCTGCACAAAAGCTTCAAAGTCGAGTTCAACCCACTGGACAAGGACGAAAAAGTACGGAATCGTCCCTCGTGCGAGAACTAATTACAACGGTACTTCTCAAGAGCAGCACAACAACCCGATAATTATTAGCGACAACAACGTGGTCCAATATTCCACGCCTCGTAATAACGAGACGCAGAACAATCTTATCATAGGACAAGTACAAGGCACTACGGCATTACGGGACGACACTACTAATAATAATAACGAGACGCGTGACAATGTTATCGTAGGACAAGTACAAGGTACTGCGTTATGGGACGACACTAATAATAATATTGTCGCGAACAATAACGACATTATTATGAATAATGAGATAATTTCCGGTGTGGAAATTAATAATAATAATGCGAATAATAATAATGGAGATATGATTATTAACGGTGATGCGTCGTTCGACTTTGCTGCTGCTGCTGTTGATGGTCTTGTTGCAAATTGTTTCGATTTGATTGGTTTCGATTATGAGATTAATGCCTCGGTTAATCCGGTTAGTCCTGTAATTAGTAGTATATATATCTATTTATTTTTCGTATTTTTTATGTATATATTTATTGGAATATATTTATTTTTTGCGACAGAATAATTCGGAGGCGGCTAATGATCAGGGAGATGAATATTGGAAATCATGGGTAGAAGACTTTACAAATGATAATAATGAATGAAATTATTACCAGAGGCTATGGCACAAAGAGAGGGACAGAAACTAAGAACAAGTTGTTATTTAATTTGCATTTTATAAATATAGTACTAAAAATTGTACTATAGTATCTTTATGTTTTTCCTTTTATCTTTTTTTTTTGGAACTTTATTTTTATTTAAAACTTGTTTTTAAACAGGATTTAACTGCATGTTTTATTTTATAACTGTGGACATGTAAGAGTTGAATTTTCTGTTCTTTACTTGCATTTTACAGTACTGAAAATCTTTCATCTTGTAATTCATAAATGTACGGATCGGAATAAGCCCTTTCGTAAAAACTCCGATTTTTTCGGAAGTGGAAAACTAGTTCTAATTCCGTT